GATAAACATGAATGTGATAGGAGTATCATAAAATTTACTACTGTAACTATTTTCATAAAGTATATTTTAATATTATATATTTTATATTTTTTTAATGATAAAAATAATTCTAACTTTTTTAATCTCTAAAGTGAGATAATTAATTTTTAAAAAAATGAGAATATAATCAAACAATATTTAACTTGGTCAAAAGATAATCGAGTTCCTACATCGTACTTATATAAAAATAAAATTCACTTCAGAAAAAAATCACTTTTATAATACCATAATCTTTAATAAAATTTTCTTATTTATAGATTATTAAATCAATTGCCTTAATGAAACTTAAAAAATAATTATAAACATTTTTACTTTTTTATTTATTAGAATATTTTTTTTTATAATTATGGGATAATAAATGTTTTTTTTATGTATTTGAGAGAATTAGTATAAAAAAAAACACATGTCATCAAAACATATATTTACTATTTACGCAATTCATTATTATGTTGAGTGTGACATAGGTTAGAGGCTCTCTGCTTCATTTTTGTCGAATGTAAGATTGGTTACGTTGGACTTAAGTTAGAGTAGAGTTTTCTGTCTTGATCATGTCGGACGTGGGTTGAATGACATCAAGCATAGATGTCCTTAAAGCTCTCTAATTTGATGACACCAGGCCTAAGTTGAGTCACCTAACATGATTAAGACATAAGTTCTCTGCATGAATAACATTAGATGCTAATGGAGTGATGATGAGTGAGTCTAGCAGAGACTCTCTACCTAGAATGGGGCCAAGTGTGGTTTAGTCACACTAATCATGATTTCCACAAAGGCTCTTTACCTCATTAATGTTGGCACGTATTGAGTGGCATCGGGCATAGGTAAGGCCAAGAGCTCTTTACCTCAATGATGCTAAGCGCAAGAAAAATGGTGTCAGACGTGGGTTACCTTATGAAAATATATTGTTTGATTGATAAAATGGTAAACATGTAGACAGTAGTTGTATATTTCATATGTTGTATGTTAATATATGTTGTGAGTTCTTTATACATTAATCTATGGAAATATAAATTGATGATTAAACTGTTGATAATTGCTTGTTGATGAATGATATTGGTTCTAAATACATTGATTAGGGATAACGTATATAGATGATCAAGTTGTTGAAATGTTGAGGCAATAGTGTTGAGAATGCTTAAGACATTATAATATGTTGTGATGATTGAGTTATGATTAATGGAAACAACGTTTTAGAAAGTTGGATATCTCATTATGAGAATATTATTGTGGTGCTGTACGAGTTCAATTATTGAGAACCTTTCTTGAGTAATTAACTTTTGAAGTGAATAATTGAATCTCTTCTAGAACCTTAATTGATGCGGTATGTGAGAATATTATGCAGTATTATGATGTTTTCATGTCCATTTTTTTTTTGTCAATTGATTTTTCTTGTGACATGATAATATACTTTATAAGTAGTTTAATGTAATTTTTGATTTTTGATTTTTTTTAATTTAATAATAAATCTAATCATCTGATTCAAATAATTCAAATATGATAATATTGAATAGGTTTTAATTAAAGACGGAAAAAGAAAATTTTAAACTAATAGAAATATATTTTAATTTAGTATGAATGTGTATAATTTGATATTTTTTTAAGTCACTGGAGAGGTTTTGAATTTGAATTTTATAAAGAATTTGAATTTTATTAATCTTTATAATAGCATAAACTTCTTATTTTAGTTTATATAATTGCATAAGATTATATTTGATTTTTATAATTATATAATTTTTAATTTTTATAAAAATAGATGATAAAGATTATAAAAAATATAACTTAAAATAAAATAATTTTAGCAAAATTTATAAAAATAATTTAAAAAAAAAATATTGTGATTGCCTATCTTCTTAAACGCAGTTAGCACCTATAAGTCTAGGAGTATTAGGCGTGATTTGTAGCTGGGACACCAAGAGTCTAGGAAGATCAACTAGTTAAATTTTAAAGTATGTTTCTCACGAATCATCCTCTCCTATCTCCTACACCAATTATAATTTTCATTATTCTTTTCAATTAAAATTTATAACTTCAAGTTCTAAAATATTATCTCTATCTCTGTTCTTATGTTGATGCATTAGTTTCTGTCTACAATTCAATATTGTAGAAATAAAATTAAAAATAATTAATAATATTTAACCCAAATATATTCTTCCATAGAATGATTATTTAGATAAACATGTATTGAAATTTTACATAATTTTTTTTTTTATATTTAAACATATTAAAAAATACAAAAAAATTAATGTTATTTCACAAACCATTTAATTTATTTATATTCTTAAACATTATATGAATATATTATTAAAATTTAATTAAAATTTCATGTCATATGTTATCATTATTTCTTTTATTACTATTATCAAAAGAAATAAATTATGCAAGTAAAAAAATATTGAAATAATTTTTCATTAAAATTTGCAAGAGAAAGATTAAAATTAAATAAAAAATTTATTAAATTTTATTAAATAAGTAAAAGAATAATGCATCAACTTAATTTCAGTAATATATATTTTTAATTATTTAAAATTAATATGTACAATAAAGTATAATTTTAATCTATTAGAAACCAATTCATTTTTTTTGTTATATATTATATAAAATAAAATAAGTGTAAAAACTTACAAATTTACAAAAAAAATATAAAATAATAAAATATGAATTTAAATAAAATAATAATTAAAATTATAAATTAAATAATTTTAAAATATAAAAATATAAATTTCATTTATTCATATAAGAATTTATACACCAATGAGTGATTATCTGAATTTAAAAATTATTGGTAGTGGGGAAGGAAGAAATTTTATCATTCAGATTGATTTAGAGATAAATATGGATGACAAAGATTTCAACACGAGAGAAAAAAAATATTTTTTTTTTTATTTTGTTCATGAGAGATTTCAAAAATTAATTATTTTTTTATCTTTATAAAATGAAAAATTATATTTTTACAAAAATTTTACAACAATTTATATAATTACTAAATGAGAAATAGGTTTGATTTGATTTGATGTATTTAATAAAAGATTAGTTTTAGTTTATATAAAAAACATGTTACGACTAATATATCGTCCTACTATTTATTTATATGATATAATAATAAAATAATATATATATATATATATTTTTTATAATCATGATAAAAAATATATATTAAATTATTAATAATATAATTAAATAAATTAATTTATAATAAAAAATTAAATTATTAATATTTTTGACATTTTCAATACATTTAAATAATTATATGTTTTTTTGAATGAAATTAATAAATTAAAAATAGAAATTCTAGCAATATTTTTATATGTTTCTTTTATTTTTATTTTATTTTATTTCATTTTCATAGTTAATTATTTAAAATATTTCAAATAAAGTATAAAAAATATTTATAATTTCTTTTTGAATAAAATTATCCTATTTTATTACAATTTATATGTGAATATACGTTAATGTACATGAATATGCGTGAATTATTTCTTTTAAATTATTATTTTTTATTTAAATTAAATTATAATAATAATAGAGTTTTATCATGTGAATTTAATAAAAGACCATCATATATATTTAAAAATAAAATTATTAATATATTTAAAATTAAATTTATTAACTTATTTAACATTGTTAATGAAAAAAAAACTTTAAATAGATTAATAAATTATAACTGACTTTTGAAAAAACCATACCAAACTTATAAAAGAGCTTATAAAATATAATTGACTAAATTTAAATTTAAATTTTAGAAAATAAAAATAGTATATATTCAAAGACTTATTTAATTTGTCCTATTCTCTTTGCTAACAGAAAAAGAAAAAGAATTGAAATATAATAAATGATGTGATATAAATACAAAAGTAACTTTATACAAATTATTTTATAAAATATTATACATGTATCATCACTTTTACGAATTCAATTTTTAAAACATACATAAGAATATTTTAGTCAATTTTCTTTATTTTAAATTATTTTTTTTCTTCTCCAAATCTTTGAATAATAAACAAATTAAAAATTAAATAAAGAGATATTTTATTATTTATCTAAAAATTTAACAAAATATAAGAATTAAAATAAAATCTCTCTTTTCTTCTATCTCCTTTGACTAAATACTATATATTACATAACATTTTAATCTAAATTTTATCGATAAAAATACATGACTAAATATGTATTTAAAATCAAATTTATAATGTAGATTATCACTTTCTTTTCATATGTAACAAACAAAAAAAAGTAACTTTTTTATAGTTGAATTTATTTAACTTCAGTTTTATTATTGATGTAATTTTATGTGTTGTTTGAAGAATTCGTTAATACAATTATTTATAATTTATATAACACTATTTATATTTTTTATGTCTTTTTACATCACATGGTTAATTATATTTTGTATTTTGTATTTTGAATTTTGTATTCTCTTTTTCTATCTCTTTGTTATTTAAATTATTGTATAAATAATATTTCTCTAAAATTATCATATAACAAATTAACAATTAAGGTAAAACTATGTGTGTATTATATGGTTATAAATAGAGACATCTATATAGATAAATAAGCAAGTTTCTTGTGGGAGGGGAAAGAGAAGGACAAATACTAATAACTAGGTAAGAAAAAATGGAATGGCCCGAATGGGTACCAAAGCGGCAATGGCGCGTGCATTAATCACCGGACCCAATCTAGGAGCTTACTTTTCCCAAGATTTCGTCATGCATTCGTGACGGCGCAGTTCTAAAGATTTCTCCCAAAATAACTCGTCCCATTAATTTCATTTAACCCCACTAAATAAAATAAAATCACACACCTCCATTCCTATTCCTTGCAACGTCACACCAGCACTAATCAATAGTACGTTTGGTATTATTATTAGGAATTATGAATCAATCAATTCCTATTTTCAGTTATATACGATCCATTAGTTTAGTCATTAGTGTGTATATACGTCTTCTCGTATGTAACATAACGGTTATGATTTCAGCACTTGCCATCTTCCCTCCTATATATATTGCACAACCGCCCTCCCCCTTCCTCACACCCTCTCTATAACAAGCTTGTTCACTCTCTCACTCTCTTTCTGTCTCCACCATGACAACTCACATTGATAACTTGTGGGTGTTAGCCTTGGCCTCCAAATGCACACAGGAGAACATTGCATGGTCACTTTTGATCATGGTCTCACTCTGGCTCACCATGACCTTGTTCTACTGGTCTCACCCAGGTGGTCCAGCTTGGGGCAAGTACCACTCCACATGGAGGAAAAACACCAACAACCTTAACCATGTCTCAGATAATAATAAAATGATTCCTGGTCCCAAAGGCTACCCCATACTAGGTAGCATGAGGCTCATGGCCTCGCTAGCGCACCACCGTATTGCGGCTGCGGCCAAGGCATGCAACGCCACCAGGCTCATGGCCTTCAGCCTCGGCGACACACGTGTCATAGTCACGTGCCACCCCGACGTAGCCAAGGAGATTCTCACCAGCTCTGTTTTCGCGGATCGCCCCATCAAGGAATCCGCTTACAGCCTTATGTTCAACCGTGCCATCGGCTTTGCCCCCTACGGTGTTTACTGGCGCACTCTCCGCCGTATCGCCGCCACGCACCTCTTCTGCCCCAAGCAAATCAAGGCCTCTGAGTTTCAACGTGCCCAAATCGCCGTCCAGCTCACCGACTCATTCCGAAACCGCCACGCCGGCTTTTGCGTTCGCCAGGCGCTTAAGAAAGCTTCGCTCAATCACATGATGTGGTCGGTGTTCGGTCAGAGGTACAACCTGGATGAAACAAACACCGGAATGGAGGAGCTATCCCGGTTAGTGGAGCAAGGGTACGACCTTTTGGGTACCCTTAATTGGGGTGACCATATCCCTTTTCTCAGAGACTTTGACCTACAAAAAATCCGGTTCATTTGTTCAAAGCTCGTCCCCAAAGTGAACCGGTTCGTTGGTTCAATCATCGCCGACCACCAAGCCGACATAACCCAAACCAACCGGGATTTCGTTCATGTTTTGCTCTCTCTCGAAGGTCCAGATAAATTGTCTCACTCCGACATGATTGCTGTCCTCTGGGTAAGTCTAGTATTTAAAAAAAATACTTTATTTATTTATTTAAATTTAGGTGTTACTAATAGTTCAACTTTCCTAAGTACTCAAATGAAAATGTAATTTTTATTTTTGTTTTGGGACAGGAAATGATATTTAGAGGGACCGACACGGTGGCGGTTTTGATCGAGTGGATACTAGCGAGGATGGTGCTTCATCCCGAGGTACAAAGGAAGGTGCAACAGGAGCTTGACGCGGTGGTTGGGTCACGCGTTTTAACTGAGGAGGACGTGGCGGCGACGGTGTACCTGCCGGCGGTGGTGAAGGAGGTTCTGAGGGTGCACCCTCCGGGCCCACTTCTCTCGTGGGCCCGTTTAGCCATCACTGATACGACCATTGATGGGTATCACGTGCCCGCTGGGACCACCGCCATGGTTAATATGTGGGCCATAGGGCGGGACCCGAGCGTGTGGGTGGACCCACTTCAGTTCAAGCCCGAGAGGTTCCTTAACGGGGAGTCCGAGTTTTCTGTTTTTGGGTCGGATCTGAGACTCGCTCCGTTCGGGTCGGGTCGGAGGACTTGCCCCGGAAAGACTCTGGGTTTGACCACTGCAACCTTCTGGGTGGCCAGGCTCTTGCACGAGTTTGAATGGTTACCGTCTGATGAAGCTAACGGGGTTGATCTAACGGAGGTGCTTAGGCTCTCGTGTGAAATGGCTAACCCCCTCAATGTTAAGGTTCGCCCTAGGCGTGGATTAAGCACTTAGTAGTGATAATAATTAAGCCTGTCTAAGTTAACTTGAAATGAAACTTTGTTTTAGTGAGATGAAAAAAAAAGAGAGGTTTTGCATGTGGCAGGGGGTTGGTGGCAGGTGCATGGCCCTTTGGAGCCACTAAATGTTAAGTGAAAGAAGTTAGAAGCTTGCTTGAGTTGGCTCTGTCTCTCTATAATATGGGTCATAAGGTTTTTCTCTTTTTTGTTTTTAAGTTGATAGTGAAGTCCTAAGTTGTCCCCGGTTATAAAAATTAGAAAAAATATCTATTTCCATTGTAAATATTTTGCTCAAATTAATACAAGTTCTTAAGTTTGCCTATGCGATTATATCAACAACTAAAAAGTGACGACATCAAATTTAAACGATTTTTATTCATTTATATATTAATTCATACTAGATGTAGTAGTACTACACCAGTACATGCCAGTGCGGGTTTAGCTATTCACTAGTTAGCACACGTGATTACTTGATAAAATTGCCACACAGACAGACAAGGTTAATTGGACCCAAAATTAATTTGATTTGTCTCAACAAATCTATGGTGTCGTGTATATTAAAAAAAATAAAAACTACATGTCTAATCAGTGCCTTGTATTGTTTGAAGGAGTATTTTGGTGGGGCCTATATATATATTTGAAATCGCGTTAGGACTATAGCTGTAACAATCCCTATCCCTCTCTCCCACGAAGGCAACAAGTACTGTTGATAACCTTTCGTGTTTGGATTATATTTTACCCTATTTATTGTTATCACTATCTATCTGTCTATTTCATAAAAAAAAAAATAGAATTATTATTGAGGGAATTCCCTGAAGAGAAGGTCAAGTGCTTGATGTGTTTGCAACTTGGGGTAGGAGTTGTCAATTAAACTAAAAACTTGAATGATATTGGGAATTTGGCACCATGCAGTGACAGACAAAAACCTTGACCTGATCTGGCTCTACGCAAAGTACATGGTTCCCTGGGCTTTCTAGTTCCTTGGCAATTGTGACTCTTCATTACTGTGGGTGGGGGCAACCCTGGTTTTCTAGATGTCCACCTATGACGGTTTACACCACAAACACAAACTCTTTGTCACAACTTAGGACCACATTTCATTTCATCTATATGTTAAATTTTCAAGGTATTTTAGAGGAAGTAATTGACACCATAGAGGTACATCTTACTCCAATTCAGCACATACACAAGGGAATGTTTTATTTATTACCATGCTTTTTAGTAGTCTTTTTCCCCTTTTGGTCAATTTGGAATTGGTCTTATGTAAAGTGGTTTTGCCCCCATTTCAATATCATCATGGTATGATAGGTAAAGGAGTCTCAAAATGATTCTTGCTAACAACCTTTTCGGCAATTTCGTGGACATACAGCTAGCTATAACAATTCAGGTCAAATCGATTTAGTTGACCATGGTCTTTAATTTTCCAATTCTTGTCAACTTAGTTCTTCTCCTCCCTCTCTTTCTTTCTATTCATTGGCTCATTTGTATTAGCAGAGGTAACTTTTATTCTCTAAATTCATCTTCAAGAACACGGGGTTTGATTTTAGGTCATTGCAAATTCGCAATCATAAAAAGAGAATTAATTTTCACCCAAACAAATTGCCGATTCTCTTTGATTGTGAAATTGAATGCAAAATCCATGCAACTATAAAAAGAAACTTTTTCCAATTAAAACAATTGGCACATTCGGATAAGAGCTATCATCAATTTTGTTCACTAGTAGTGAGCCCCAAGGATAAAAACTATGGCTAGTTCATCGAAACTTGCACGTTTATGATCTTGATTGGGCCCAGCTGTGGTGAATTGCCTTTGGCAAGAAACCAAATCCATTGAATATCTGGTTCCAACTTTTTAGGAAACAAAATGAATATTGCAATGACAACTCCAATTCTATGGAGGACATGGAAAAAGATACTCATGTTTTTGTTCTGTCTGGCTTAGGTTTTCTCTCCCGTTTTTTTCGTTTTTAATAATAAGAATATGCCATATTTACTCAGGGCAGTATACTATGAATCAGGACTGCAATAATGCTTGTTTGATAAGTAGATCTCTCAGCTGAATTAACTTGAAGTAACTTTTATTACGTGTTACATGGTTGATAGATTAATAACCTTAAAAATAAGTATGTGGTTCGAATGCATATACGAAAAAACATTTATATGAGAGGCTCAATATTTTAAATAAATTTCATAATCTTAAGATTAGTCTTTAATTTTTATTAAGGATAAAGCATTTTTAAAAATAAAGTTTGACTGTGGACAGTTAAAATACACATATCACTATCATTAACTTTTATACATCTATATACGGTATTGACTCATGAATACAGATATAGCACTGTATATTGTCAAACAATCAAACACTTGACACTAACATAAATATTTGTTTATGTGGATAAATTGTCACATCAACTTTTATTTAAACCATGATTAAGTATTCTCCCTACTAGATTATCAGCCGAAAAACAACACCACTCGTCATTGGTGGTATTTAACAATTAATTGTGTTTTATAATGCACTAGTGTACTATGTGAGAAGTCCTTTTCTGCAGCTTGTTCTTCTTTCTAGTCCAACGTGGAGGAAATTTTTATATGTTGCTTACTAGTCTTTTGCATTGTTTTCGTATCTGGATAGTAAAGTATCTGTTCTCATTCACTTCTCACTAGAAGGAACTACTTTCTTACACACGTAGACTTTAAACAAGTACCAAAAACATTGTTCCCTTATTCAAAGGTTGTTTTACTTATCGACAGAAGTAAAATGAATTGAGCTTAGAAGTATGGATGAGAGTATGTAGGTGCCAAACTAATGACACCAAATGAGACAACGATCACCAATTGTTTTTGTCAATGATAGGTAGTGTTGTCTAAAAACACGGTTCACTTCATGGTCTTTAAAATTGAGTAAATGCTGAGATCAAACAAATATTAAACATGTCGAGTCTTGCGTGTACAATGCTTATTGCTTGTTTTTCCTATTTGGCTCATGTCATTAAGACGGTTGAAGGAACAAATGGAGCCCATGACAATGATCCAAGAGACAATTAGACCTTTTTTAGAAGTGAATTTGACAAAGACTTCCCAACAATTCATTAAGCTAAATAGTAATACATCAACTAAAAAATAGTCTCCACTGTGGCCTTAACAGGATCCTCTCTCCCTAATATTAAGGCTTGCCCTGCATATCACTAGACAGAGACACTGACACAAAAGCAAATCCAAGCACAAGGGACCAAAGGGTGGTTCCCTTGTTTGGATAAGGGAACTCTAACTTAGATGTTTTCCAATATTCCATGCTTCAAGTCCATTTCAATCTGATTAATTACTCATCTATGTCAAGTTGGTGCTTGCATATACAAGCTGTTTGACAACCATACGTGTGGTAGTTCTTCTGATTTAATTTAATGACAATAACTTAAATTATGTATGCAAAGTATTAATAAAATCTTTGTGTAACTGAGGCCAAGACCCATGAGGATGAAATTAATGATTCTCTGAGTAGGTGTTTTAAGGCTAAGGACCACTTACTGATGGGACTGTGACATTGACATATTACAATAGTATTTCATTTAAGAAATATTAACAAAAATTATTAGTAAGAAAATATGAGATAAATATAGACACGACATGATATAATAAGAAGAAATAAAAAAAAATGATTACCACCAATTATTCATACTACACTTATAATTTTTCTCTCAATTTCTTTCCGTTACATTAACCATATATTTTTTTCTTCCTATCTCTTTCTTTGTTGTATAATTATTTATCCTAAACTTTTGCATAAAGACAATTTCTGTTGGATTAATACCCAATCCTTTTGGGTGGTTAGCGCAGTACATACAAGCATATCCAAGCATATAATGTTGACACAGAAAGCGATCTACGTATCAAGTTGAACAACATTGTTTTCTTTGCAATTAATTTAACAATCAAAATAATATGCACTAGTGATGTGATTGCATGATAAAACATGGCGTTGAATAATGCAAGGTTTCATTCATGCACTCTTGGGTTGAACATATAATAAGGGTATGTTTGTAAGGGACGAAACTTTTGTTAGAAACAGTGCATGAGAAAAAGAACACAATGACATGTCTTGAGGCTAATCAGAAATATTGGTTGTGTACAGATGATCAAGATGTTGCGTACGTATAATGTTCCCCCCTTGTTGATTTTGACATAATCGTCCCATGACAGCCTTTTTACTTTCCTATGTGTCTGTTTGGTGAACTCGACCATTCGCAGTATCTAATCTGATTAGGCCCCCAACCAATTAATGTGGCATATCCCTCAAATCTCGCAAATTTGAGACACATTTAATGATAAAAAATCAACCCAGTAAGTTCTTAGTAATGCCATTTTCTGCAATTATTTGGGTCTGATATAGATCCAAGAAAGTCTGTTTCAGCCACTTAATGTTTTTCTACACGCAAGAGAAACTTTGCACTATCCTACCTTGACTATATTGTCTTTTACCATCTTTAGGATTACATAGACCAGCAAAATTATTGGTATTTACTAATCACTGAAAATGGTCGTGCCATTGAACATTCCAAAGTATTTTAATTATTATGGATATATATAGCCAGCCTATAAAGCCATGCACATGCAACAATTAATACGAAATTCTAAGTTTACTACTTACTAGCCTCTGTATAAGTCTACCATTTTAGGAAACAAACACTAATTATAATAGCTAAATCTAATTGTGGGATATATTCTCAGCCAATATCCTATTGAAAATTTAAAACACTTCTAGTAAATTTACTAAATATGATCCTTAAGTTATTGGTATTCGCTAGTTACAAAAATTTGTGTGATTTTGAATAAAGCATATGATAATTGGACCGCATCACACATGCCTTTGGACTCCAGTCTTGTCTCTGAAGGTTGACATACTAGGAAGGTTGGACAATAATGCTACATTTAAGTCAAATTATGTTAAATATGCTCACTTAGTATCTTGTTGAATGATAGAAATTACCGGAACTCATCGTTTCATGTTCCCTCAATAGAAAAACGATACGTGGTTTGAAAAATAACTCTCTCTCTCTCTCTCTTTTTTAATTATTATTTTGCTAAAGTGCCATTTGTTTTATGGGAGACAAGGAAGGGAGTTAGGGAATACACAAAAGGACAAATGATAGTAATTAAAAGTTGAGCTTTTACAAGAGATTAGCTTAATCCACTTTTGAAACTAGTTGTGCATGGAATAAATCACGTCACATGCTGAAATGACACAAAAGCTATAACTAGTTTCCTTCAACGTATGTAGCCAAACACTCACTAAAAATAAACTGAGTGTCGTTCAAAGTCTCATTTTTTTTTTCTTTTTTCTTTTTTGAATGAAAGCTATAATCTTTTTACTCCCAAGAATTACGAGCCATGTATTCTAATCTTTGAAATTTTAAAAACTCTCAATTTGTCCTTTGACTTTGCAAAATGAGATTCATATTATTTCTTTTTAGAACAAAAGGAAAGTGAAAAATAAAGTTAAAAAAAAAAATTTATTTATTTATTTTGCACAGTGAGAGAATAATAAAGAATTTTTAAAATTTTAAAAACTAAAACGGCTTGTGTAGTCTCGAAAACTAAGTTGAAATTTTACTCGAAAGCAATCACATAGTCAAGCCTATGTGCATGTATTTCAATTTTCAACTCAAGAATCTGAGTATTAGAGACTGAATATTGGTTACAAGTTACAACCTTTACATAGGATCATGCACTACAATCCCTGCATGGTCTCTTTGTATTGTTGGGATGATAAAGGAGTACTGGACTCAATCGTTAGTGGTTCAATGTATGCATCGGGTTGTGTCCATCAAAGCTTTTATCCAAAGATCAGATTCAGATCCCCTATTCAATACTCTATATCCCAATGGGTAACATACAATGATTTCTAATTATCAAATTTTTCGATATTTCCAAATCATAACAGCTTAAAACCATTCAGCAAGGCTAGGTTTCAGGTTGGTCACGAATAAGTGTGACATTCCAAGAAACAAACATAGTATGTAACAAGTAGATGAATTTTGTCATATTTTTAAAATTTTAAACTAGCATTAATAAAAGAATTTCACATATGAATGACTTCTAATTAACTTCATAATTCGTTGAGGAAATTTATTATTTCTCGATCATGATCTTTTTCGGCTACTTATAGAATTGTTTCTCTTCTCTTTATGCTCCCTTTTCTTTCGTACTGGTCGTTGTTTTGTCCTTGGATTTTCACAACGAAGTTCTATAATGACTAAATCAAGAATAATTATATTTTAGAGAAACCACTATTTACCAACCTCTTGCAAGCAACGAACATTATTGATAAAAACACGAACTAATGAATGTAACCAAACATTAGGTTGAGATACATTTGTAAAATATTTATTGGTTTTTAATGGTTTGAAATGCGTCACTTTCCACATTATCCAAGCACGGTCTTATAACTAAGCATCATTATAAATGAATTAAATTAATAAAATCATTTCACAGCGTAAGGATAGAATCAAGACTGTTTCCCTTATAAAAAGTCATAACTAAAAAAGTATAAAGAATTTGCCCTAGCCTTTTTTCTTGTTAAGATTTGTCCAAAGACACGAAGAAAAAAATAATCTTAATGCGTGTTTGATTTTCATTTTCAAACGTAATTTTATCCTCTCTCCATGTCTATGTATTCATTTACGGAGAAACTGATATCTTTTACTTCTGATGAAACGTGATTTTTCACGTCCAGACTCCAACTCAAACACGCTCTTACACTACCAAAGCCTATCAAAATGAATGAATGACAGTGACACCAGTTGGAGCTTGAGTCTTTATCCTATTCCTGTCTCTTTAACCAAAAAATCTCCCGGCAGATTCATCCCATATACTTTATCCTTTATATGTTAGAAGAAAAGAAGGTAAGTGAAATAAAATTACTGATAGAAAAAAACAAAAATAAAGGGTGCTGGATTATGTTGTGGAAAAGAAAGTTGAAACAAGAATGTGAGCTCAAATATACAATTGACAAAATAACAAACGGTACAAATTTGTTCGTGGGTCGTTAAGTGTTTATTGTCACGTATTTGGGCCAAATAAAGTGGGACAAACAAGATTTTGCGTTTGGTTATTGCCCTCTAGCTCACAAAGGAAGATGGGTCCAATGATGTCTACACCAAAATGACACATTTCGTCAGGGGGATTCATTAAGTGGGGGACCAAATCTTAAACTTTATACTCTTTCATCTATCTATACCTCTACTGTCACTTTTCAAATAATTATAATGGGTCTACAAGGGATTCAGCCTGATTACCAAAAGTGAAAATTGATTTCTCTAAAATGGCTTCGCTTAACTATGAAGTATAGAGAATGGTAGGTTCTAATTGGCTTAAGCTTTGCTTCGAACTGTTACATTTGGTGTACAAAATTATCAATTATGTGCTTGGTAGAATTAAGGGTGTGGTTAGAGGAATAATATTAGTAGTAAAAACTATCTTGCTGCTGGTTGTATGTTTCAATGAAAATTACTTATACAAATAAATAAATGAATAATTAATGACTACAACATACCTTGAGGAAGGGATGCTGAAATTTCTTAAAAGGTGCATCGACTATTGTTAAGTATATTTAAACCTAATACGGGTCAATATGCTAATTAAACAGAAACCTCAACTTATCAAACCAAAAAAAGATAAAAATGAATATTCTTATATGTAAAATTTTGTCAATCTCTCTCCTTAAATGTATACAAATTTTAATTTTCTCTTTTTAGCTTCCCACGTGTATCCAAAGGAAACAATCTTATATTAGAAATAATAAGATTCTAACAATGATATTAGTACTTATCCGGGTCAATTATAATTGATCTTTAGGCTTAAAAATAAGTCAAGTCAGATCAGATTTTGAATATATAAATTAGACCTATCTTATAAAATTAAAGTTTAAATTTGATCTATTATCTATTATAGATTTTTTTTATAAGTGTATCTTGACTTGATCTATTAATCTATTTAAAATTCTATTTAAATTAGTAATATTAATTAGACCAATAAACTTAATTTTTTAAAAATTTAAAAATTTATTTTTAAAATATAGTTTACTCAATTATTAAAATTTAAATTTTAAAAGATTTTATATGAGAAAAATTGAATCATTTTTTGTTGAAAGGACAATTCATACGTAATCATATATATTGATGTACACGTGCACAGGTCGTAAGTTTACAAGTTTATAATAAAAAAAGAAAAAAATTATACAAAAAAATATTTTAAATACTGATAATTCATTTTTATTTTTTTATAAATTTATTTGTTTATGTTTTTAATAATATATGTATATTATTTTTATTATTATATTATATAAATAAATAGATCAACATATCAAATTTTTTTATAAATCTAAATATAGCCTTTTTATATAAATAATTTTTTTTTAATTTAAATTTAATTTTTTATTAAATAAGATAGATCATACTAAACTTTAAGAAGATCATAAACTCCCATTTAAAGTCTAACCTATTTACATCCTTAATGATTCTAATGACCGACTTGGTTAAATTTTTATGTTTAGCTACACGACATTCCTTTTTTTTTTTTTCTCACTCCATTTCTTTTTTTTTTTCTCACTCCATTTCTTTGATACTAATCTATACCATTTTCTTTCAATTTGTGATAGCTGATCCTGATCCTAATGTCTATTCTATCTGTTGTGACTATTCAAATATTGATTCGCCACGTTATAAGGAACTTAACTAACCCAGACTCAATCCCTCTAAGACCAATCCAAAAAATAGATAGTTGGGACTTTGGTTATCAGCTATTAAACGATTCAACATTGTCTACAGAACCTTATTTAGCAGGGGCTACAGAATTAAACATGTGATACAACGGATGATTGCATAAACTGTACTCCAATTACTAGGTATCATAAAATTTATTTCAAATTATTATTCATTAAATACTAGATTAAGTCTAAATGAACTATCATGACTGAGCAAGAGGGCCATAGCACATCATGAATACAAAATCCTCGCATGATATTGAGAAATGGAAATACTTTGAAATGATACCCAAAAAGAAAAGAAACAACACTTCCACTAGTCTGTTACCACTATGACACTGTTGATATAGATACCTAATAATAGATGTACTACTAAACTATGGCCACAACTCAAATTCAATTTTCTGCCTCGTTGGACTTGTTTCTTTTGCCATAGTACTGAAGAGCAAATGCAAAGCCTAAAATCAGCAACGGCACTAGGTACTGCAACATCTTCAAAACAAACCCAGCAGATTGGTTACTATTGGCAGGTGCTTGTGTTGGTGGGCGTGGAGTGTTGGTGGCTTGTGTTGGAAGAGTGTTGGTGTCAACCTCCCCAACTAAGTATGTTTGCATCATCTCTATTGCTGACTCACTGTGGCCAATGTCTTCAAAATCACTGGTGGCATCCTTCTCTGTGTAAAGACCAAAAGATTCTTAGTCCATGTCTATTATTTTTCTTCTTCTAGCCAGCTAGGCAAGAGGGAATAGTTTTTGATTGCATATTGATGGCATCAAGTGACCAAGATAAACTAATTACCTGTTGCAGTCACTAAAACTTCATCACCTCCTGGATGATCTTCCAAAAATGGGGTGACATCATACACCTGCTACCATGGAATGCATGTTAGGTAAAATATTTTGATGTATCTATAATCTTACTACTCATAAGACAAATTTAAAGGAAATTAGAGGCATTGGGAACTCAGCATTTATTGGATTTGAAGAACAAAGTTTCAAATTAGTATGTTATCTATATAGTAAGGTTTACTTCCCCCATCTTCTTTTAGCCCTTTATGAAGTTCAGAATATAATTAATCCATTCAATCGTCAAACAGCGAGTGAAATATATATAACTTCTGCAGTTCAAAATACTACTTTATATATATATATATATATAGATAGAGAGAGATCCGTTTATTCCAGGAGTAAATCTACCTAGACTTACTCTATTCAATAACTCAGATTCTATGTCAAGTTTTAATGATCCAACTGTTGAATTTAAAGTTTTTAATATATAAATCAAGTCTGTAAATTTAAAAAAAAAAATTGAAAATCATTTGATACTTTATTTTATTAATTTAAATTGACAGATAATCATAAAATCATTTTATACGTTGATTTAAATTAATGAAACGAAATATCAAATGATTTTTAAATATTTTTAAAATTTGCAGATTTGATCTATATATTAAGAACTTTAAATTCAACAGTTGGATGTTTGAAATTTGATATAGAATACGAGTTATTAAATGGAACAAGTCTATCATAAACTTACTCCTGGAATCAACAAATCCCTTCTCATATATATATATATATATATATATATATAAGTGGAAGCTTAACCATTTGATTGGCAGTCAATTTACAGTCATAGTTCTTTCTCCACTTATGTTTATAGTATAATAAATTGCATTACCAGTTCTAAAGTTTCCTAAACTAACCACTGATAAGTTCATATTTCTCTCTAGGACTAAAGACAGTCTAAATAGAATACTCAAATGATGATACAGTTGCCATTCACATAAATGATTTACATTATTGATGTTTCCAATAAGGAAACTTTTTCTTTTGTTGATACTAGGAAGGAAGAATCCGTATCACCCTGATTAGATATAGGTGGTGGTGTAGCAGCCTTCAATAGGAGTGAAAACATTATAAGCTTTAAGGACAGGAATGAATGAGGATTTCCAGAGAAGATTTAGGTGTTGATGGAGCCATTAATAAGCTGTGCTCATGACATGAAGCTCCGGAAGATTAGAGATCTGAGAAACTTGGGAAAGCAAAAATTGCTTGGTTTAGCTTCATTTGGTGGAATTGTAGTTTGAAGAATTTATTCTTTCATTGTTTTCCCATTTTTGAGTGTGTCTGAATTCGACGACATTTCTTTAAATAATAAGAATAGAAAAAGGTATACAAGCTAATAAATATGCAATGGCCAACATTACAGACAAACATAACAAATTGTTCTAAACTAGAATTTGGTTTGGTTTCCAACAAAAATAAAATCAAAATCTTCTTTTGGATAGGAAATGACATGTTACTTTACCAAGCTTGTTAACTCAGCTAGTGTAATTAACATCTTATGACAGTATGTGATGAGCAGAGCAATTGAAAAATAACTCATTTATTTAAACAGAAGAATTCTATTCCTATTCCTCAATAAATAATTTCTCACAGGGAGTTATAGATCATAACAAGATCAACCAGCATCATCAATATATAGTCTCCCAACCAACCATAAACAGATTAACTCACTCATATTCAGTGACTGATAAGGTGACACTGATTTATCATAGAAATAGTTTATGAAATAAATTTGTTCTCCCAATTCTGATTGTCACTTCAACAAAATTAAGAATACAATAATTCTAGATAGTTTGCGTTTTTGCAGATGCAGTAATGCAAAAATGAGAAAGAAAAAAAAAAAGACAATTGCAGTTTTTATAATTAGTATAAATATGTATTTCAATCATGCCCAAACAACTTTCTAAATCATTAAATAGCTTATTCCCGTTGAAAACCCTGTGACTTATTCAGCTTTCAATGAACTGCCACCATATGGATCAATCATGATTCTATTATATATTATATATTGATACATAATAAAGTTAACTTGCATGCAGTTATTCATCATTTTCTGTCTTAGTATTGCAGCTATAGAGTTGATAATTTTTTCCCTGTAGTTTAATTACTCTTAAAAATAAATTTTCATTTTTCTTCTTTTCTTATTCAATTTCAAGCAGAGATTCTACCTGATCCTTATATCTCCTCTCTAAATGATTTTGCCTTCTTCATAATTCATTATTTGTATTTTACACTTTGGCATTATCTTAAGGGGACGTTTTGTAAGGAAGGAGTTTTTTCATATTTAGGGAAGAAGTTCAATATCTATAATATTGTTTTACAGCAAGCTCAAAGTTAAATTCTATTTTGCTTAGTGACTATACATAGAAAATATAAACATTTTAACACCAATGTTACTAAGCAATCAGTGTTGGATTTTGTAAATCCTCCATGGACTAGCACAGTCACCCATTTAGTTAAACTCATTATATAGTTTTAAATTGCACTTCCCAACCACTCACCAACTCTCGGCCACCACATAACCACAACAATTGCAGTCACATTTGCCCACAACTTTCCATGATTCAAGTAATTGTAATGCAACTGCAATTTGAAAGCTTGTTAAAATTAATTAAATATTATATTTTTTCCATCCTATAATAAGTGTCGTGTAATAAGAAAAAAAAAGTCTCAACATAAGTGTCATTAGAGCTAATTTAGTATTAATAATAAGGTTAACTTTAAAAGTTGTTTATTTATACATCTTTTCTATTAATAAGCTTAATAATTTCATTTAGAAAATTGTTTATTGTGTTGTATTATTTAAAAAAAAAAAGATTAATAATAAGGTTAATTTTAAAAAATTATTATCATCTTTTTCTCTATTTGTTAACTTTTTTAGTTTATATGAAATAATATAGGACGATAATTATCATGTGACAGAGAAATTAACTCATATGTGGTCACTTTTATTACTCTCTCCGTCATATAATAAGTATAGTTCTACGTTGTTTAGACTAAAAAAAGGCTAATAAATAGATGATAAAAAATAATAATTTTATAAAATTAACCTTACTATTAATCTTTTTTACTAGAAATGATATAACAAAATACCTTTCTAAAAAATATTATTAGAAGAATAAATGAAAAAGAGATAATTAATATTATAATAAAAAACTAAAATGACATTTTTTTAGACTTATTTTTTCTTCTTATATGAGACTTATAATCAGATGGAGGGAGTATTGAATTATTACCAGCACTTATACCCATACAGATTATGTTGGGCGTATAGGGTTTTCCATGATGAATAGATTAGTCAGTGTACTACTTCCTCATGTCTCGAACATAAGAAAAACAAAAAAAATCAACTCACATTAATTTCACTAGTTTTATTTAAAAACAATTTATTCTTCTAAACTACCTTTTATTGGAATTTGATTTATCAAAGAATAAAAATATAATATTAAAAATATAATCTCAATTAAATATAAAAGTATTTTGAAACAATATCATTGGACACTTAAGGGATCTTGAAGTACTATTTCTAAGTCTCCAACCAAATCCACCTATATTAAGATTACTTGTTAATTTAAGTAGAGTGAAATTAGTCAATATTTTTTTATCTTTGAAACTAACATATTTTAGTGTCTTTTTGGTTAGACCAGGGGGAATATTATCACAAGGGGAGAACTCATTCAGATTGGATGGAATCCTTGTTCATGAGGTTCGGTAATGGATTTCTCATCTTCATCTTTTTCCGGCATTCTTATAAGTTATAACCCAATTGCTACATAAGTATGGTAATACATGTCGTGCTTAGGATTAAATTCATGAAAGAATTTTGGATTAATTTTTATACAAGTTTTGAAAATTTAGATGTCATGCACAAAATTGAACTTGTTTTTGCAACTTATACATGAAGGGATTGAATTAATGGCTTTTATTGAAATCCGCTTGGGTTAAAAATTAATGATCTTTCTGAATATATTGAACCCCAATCCAGCATGGGAAAAATTTGGACCACTCAACCAGGACCATGCATCAGCCATAGTCAAATAAAGTAAACAAGAGTCTTTCATATGCAATTCATCCAGAGATTGTTTACAAAGCAGATTCATGCAGAAATTAAACCAGATCAACAAAGAAAAACAGATCAAGAATCAAATGATGACAGAAACCCAATTCCGTTCACAAAAACTGACCTTGCCATTCACTATGATCCAGCAATCCTTCCTGTGGTTGTGTTTAGCCACCTCCTCAAAGGTAAAAGTTTTGGTTTTTGACCCCATTGTTGACTCTTCCACTGCCCACAGAAAAACCAAGCACACCTCATTCTCATATTATTCATAAAATACAACACACAACAGGGAAAATAATTGTTTCATACTGAAAACCCAAGAAAAATTCAGATTGCAGAGACTAAATTAATGGAGAAAGAGAGAAAGAAAAACATACGAAAAGTTGAAGAAGAAATTTTCTTACACGGTGATGATGACTGAAAGGAGAAGATGGTCTTTCTATCAGACAGCACTTTTATTTTTACGCCTTCTCAACAACCTCAAACTATTATTTATATGTATAACAGTTGTCCATCACAATTAAAAATTTTTCTTTTATTATGATTGGTGTTACTTTTTAATTAAAATTAAAATTTTATCTTAATAAATAATGAATTTTTATTTTTTTATTATAATAAAAAAATTGATTTTATTGTTATTAAAAAATTAATTATCTGTATTAAATTTTATTAATTTTATAATATTTTTTTTTAAATTATCTTTGTTATAAATGTTAAATCTAAAATATCTTTATTATATATATTAAAAAAATAATGTTAAAATGTCATACAAAAAAAATACATTAGTCTAAATATTGTTAAATAAAATAAAAATAATTAAAATTTACTTATAATTTTTTAAAAAAATATGTTTTTTCTTCTTATAACAAAAAGGAAGATAGTATGTATTATTAAAATAAAATTTTAATTTTACTTATAAAATAACACCCATTTATATGAAAGATTGTAAGTAAGTGTTATTATTTATATTTGCATGTTTGAAAATTTCAAGACTAAAATGCATTTATTTATGAAATTTTGAAAGGAAAATTTGTTTCTATTTGTTTAAAATTAAATATAATATAAAAATTTGTTTTTATTCATTAATTAAAATGAATTTTAAAATTAATAATTATAATATTTTAAAAGTTTGAGTAAGGTTTTTCTTTAGTTCTTCTCATAATTGTTTTTCAATTAAAATTGATATTTTATTTTATCATTGTAGTTAATATTATTTTTTAATCAGAAATAAAATTTTATTTCAATAAACGATATACATTATCATAATAAAATTTTAATTTTACTTGAAAACAACACCATTCATATATAAAAAAAGCCTTGTGCTATTTATATTTATATGTTTGAAAATTTCAAGAATAGACTGCATTTATTTTTGTATTTTTGAAAGGAAAAATTGTTTTTATTTGTTTAAAATTAAATATGAAATTAATATTTTGTTTTATTTATTAATTAAAATATGTTTTAAATTAGTAATTATATTATTTTAAAAGTTTGAGTAAAACATTTGTTTAAAAAAGATTTTATGTATTTAGTTATAATATTTTTATATTTTTTAAATAACCATTCATGTTGCATTAAATTTATAAATTTAAATTTATTTTATTTTTAAGAAATGATAGAAGATTATTGAACCAAATTTTTTTAGATATCACTAGAATGATTTTTTTTCTTTGCATAAAGCGAAGTCTTCTTTATATGCACAATTAAGAAATTAAATTCTTATAAACATACTTAAAAAGTTTAATTACCTATTAATTGTGTTGAAAATTTTAAATTTATTTATTTTATATTTTATTATAATTTTATATTATTATTAGTTATTTAATTTTATTAAAACATTTTTAGTTCAATTAATTAATTTATCAACTAAATCTGTTCCTATTGCTTTACTTTGAACAAATCTTTTAGAAGCTAATTTTGTGTTATATTTTCTTTTCATTATTATTTTTTTCATGAATTATTACTGAAAGTTCTTAAATAAACAAATATTCTATATTTGACTAATTTATTATAAAGAAATGAATGTGTATTCATATAACGACACATCGTTTGTATCGCCCGAACCATTAAAGCAAAACATCGAAAAGAGCGTTTTCTCACCCTTTTCATACGTGCAGTGTTCAGTGTTCACACTGAAAATGTATTAAAAGCAACATTTAATAGAAGAAAAAAAATATATTTTACTTCAGAATAATCCTACACAAATTTTTTTATTATACAACAATATATTATTAATAAAATAGAGTTCAAATAGTGATCTAATTTTTATTAAGTATTATATTATTTAATAATTTTATATTAAATATAAATTTTATAAATTTAATTGTTATTAAAAGTTTATATATATCAATTTATATGTGTATATTAATTTTTATTAAAATTAAACAATAACTTGAAGGTAATTAAAATATTTATATTTTATTTTATTTTAAAATATATATTATGTTAATTTTATTTTTATAAGAATAAAGTATCAAATCATGTTTGATTAATATAAAATTTTGTATATACGATTTAAGAATAACAAATTTCTAATCTAATGGTTGAGTTTATAAAATTCATATTTAATATAAAATTATTGAACAATGTAATACTAAATAAAAGTTATATCAGTGTCATTTAAATCCTCATTTATTAATAATGAAGAGAGTATATATAAAAGAAGTATTGAACAAGTTATTATACACTTTTGTTGTGTTTTTATACGTATATCATTACGTTTTACGACTAATATTATATGTACAACTAAAATTATACAATTTGTACATCATTTTTGTATTTATTTCTCTCCATCATTTCATTTATTATATAGAAAGATATTATTAATGATAAAGAGAGATAGATACTAAAGTGATTTTATACAAGTTTTACAACTTTTATCATATATAGGGACAAATTTACATGGGGCACAATGGGGGCACTTGTACCCACTACCATTTTATACATACATATTTTTTTCCAAAAAAAAAAATATTTTAAAAAATAGTTATATTCTAATAATATATATATATATATATATATATTTAATACAAAT